CAAAAAAAAAAGAAAGAAAGAAAGAAAAAGAAAAAGCAGAAACTCTCTGTTTTGTCTAAAGACATAATTTTGGAACTGCTATTTTTATTACCAATCAGAACATAAATGTAGCCTGGCACAGTGACCCATGCCTGTAATCCTAGCAGCTGAGACAGGAGGATCACAGTTCAAAGCCAGCCTCAGCAACAGCGAGGTGCTAAGCAACTCAGTGAAACCCTGTCTCTAAATAAAATACAAAATAGGGCTTGGGATGTGGCTCAGAGGTTGAGTGTCCCTGAGTTCAATCCCTAGTACCCAAATAAATAAATAAATAAAACTATGGCCAAATTTTTCATAAGTCAAATAACATAAGAAAAAAAATGTTAATTTCCCAAATGGCACTTTGGATTGGCTATTGAATGTGAATAGTACTTATCTGACAAAGTATGTGAGATCTGGCTTCCAAAAAAATGATATCATTTTTCTTAAACTTTCTTAAAAATTGAACAAGTTTCCAAAAGGAGCTTATTATGCAGGTACAAAAATATATGGTATCATGAGAGAAATTGAATGAATTCTAAGGATACTTGCTACAAAATAGGAAATATATTTTAAAGTAATAGAAAGTAATATAATTATATCAGTAAGTTGCCAAAACTGCCTTAAAAATGTGAAGATACTGATTTAGAATTCTGTACCCATAATTCATCATTTTTCACAAAATATTCTTTAAAGGAAACAAGATTTAAAGTTAGTATTTAATCTTGAAATAATCAATGATCAATCTAACCATGCAACAGAAAAAATTTAACAACTTAAACTGTAGTAATATTAAGAAACACTTTATAGACATTTTAAAATGTCCTAAATCACTTTGATGTCATTGGGAAATATTAAATGAAAATGTAAGAAAAAATAGTCATATATTATGATGCAAACTATTTTCTTGAATCTGTATGTGATTATAATATTAACATTATATTAAATATTAAATGAAAATATATGCTAAAACTAGGTATATGTTATGATGTAAACTATTTAATTGAATCTGTATGTATTTATAAGTCTGAAAAACAAATACACTATAGTTTGGCTATTGTGAATTGTGCTGTTATAAACACATGTATGTACATAACACTATACTACTACTATGGTGACTTTAATTCTTTGGAATAAATACTAAGGAATGGTATAGGGGTGTCAAATGGTGGTTCCATGCCTCGTCTTTTCAGGAAACTCCATGCTAATTTCCATAGTGGCTGTTCTAATTTACAATCCCACCAACAGTATGAAAGTGTTCCTGCCGCAGTCTGGCTGGGCACAAATCACGAGCCACTGAAGCAGAAACAAACTTTATTTCTGAACTCCACCAGCACACTCCACACACGCTCCCGGGAATGCTCCCGCGAACCACGCACGCGGTGTTCTCTCGGGACACACTACACCAACAGGAAATCCCTCCTCCCGAATTCCCTCTTACCGCACTTCCCCAACCAATGGGAACTCTCCGGGAGTCCCCAGAGAGCTCCAAAGTAGCAGACCTAGGCAGAGAGCAGGGGTCTAATCTCCAATTGAATGCACATCTTAACATAATCATTATCATCTCAATGGCTTGCTGGGGTCACCTTTCAACCAAAAATGCCATGCATCATTCCTACTTGGCTATGGCTCTCAGCAGTTCCTTTTTCTCCACATCCTCACCAGCATTTATTATTGTTTGTATTCTTGAATATGTAGACAATTGAGTTTTATTCATCCATTAAGAATGAGATTATGTCCTTTGCAGAAAAATTAATGGAATGTGAGAATATTATGTTGAGCAAAATAAGCCAAACTTAGGAATTCGATGGTGATATGTTTTCTCTCATATGTAGGAGATAGACAATAAGAGAAAAGAAAGGTGTGGGGGAGGGGCATATCCTGGAAATCCAAGGGAGATCAATAAAGTAGAGAAAAGGGACCACAGGGAGGAAAGGAGGGAGGGAAAGGGGAAATATTGGGAAATGATATTGACCAAATTCTACTGTTATATTGTGTGCATGCATAAATATATAATGATTCCCATCATTATGTATAATTATAATGGGTCAGTAAAAAATATGGGAAAGCTGGGGAAATGCTACATCGTGTACAGCTGGAGAGATGAAGTGTTGGGCTGCAAATGTGTATTATTACCACACATTGCAAAATGCATTCTGCTGTCATATATACCTAATTAAAATAAATTAATTAATTAATAGAAAAATAAAATATGGAGAAAAAATACCCCAAAATATTAATTAATGTTATTCTGGGTGGTGGAATTGCAAAGTTGTCTTTTGCATTTTTATTCTATTAAAAATTTCCACATTTTTGTAATAAATATGTATCATCATTATAAATTTTTAAATAGCCGTGAGTATTTGTATGAGAACTTTCTAGTGGTGTCTATGAAGGAGGCATGTATTAATATAATATCTAAGTTCCCAGAAGAGGTCAAGTATTTCCTGGGTACATATTTTATTATTATTATTATTCATATCATAGAGTCATCAGACCAGTCCTGGAAAAGGTAGGTGGATAAAGCTAAGTAGCCAAGGTGATCCATTCTAAAAAAATCTTACTATGACTATTCTCTTTTTCTCTCTCTCTTTCTTGTTGTGTGTGTGTGTGTGTGTGTTTAAGATATGATTAAGTCTCAAAGTCTCTTCCAAAAATTCAAGTGCACATAGGCACTGAGAGCAAAAAACACCTGCCAGTCTCATTCTTAAGTCTCTAATTTTTTTAAAATCCTCGCTTATTTATTCTTTTTTTTATATATTTCTGACCTTGAGACTTGTAGGGATCCAGCAGGATAAGAAAACATAGTTCAGGTTAAAGTTTTGTTACTATAAACCTCTGGTTATCTCTTAACCATGTTCTTCTCAGAAGCTAAAGGAAATAATTCAAAGTATGTGTTAAGTATTGTTTTTTGCATATTTTTGTCAGAATGTTTTTTTATTTCTCTGAGAAAGAATAAAACGTGCAGTCTAAATTTTTGTCTTTTTCTCTGCCTTCTAAAATTTTCCCTATGGCTTTGATCATAAAAAAGCAATACAGAAATAAGCCACGACAATCCAATCAATCTAGTGTAAGGTTGTTTCTGACCAGCCATAGACAGTTTTAGATATAACATTCAAAGTTTCAGATCCTTTTCAATGCAGTAATGTGAAAATATTTTGAAAAGCTCTCTGGAGATGGGGAAGGTTAAAATTTCTAAATTTTAAAACAGGAGGGTATTTAGTATTATAATAATTCAAATGATTATCTTCATGGGAAGATTTAAACTTGTCTATCATGTCTGAATGTTTATAACATTAACATTTGTTCTGAAAGTACACGGCCTTTAGGAGATAGATGCTATTAGAGACGGTTTGTCATCTCTCATGATCCTCATGAAGCAGATCAAGAGCAAGGGGTGGCACCCACATTCTAAATTTGGCAACACAGCAAATCAATTTTCTGATCTTATTACCACACATTGCAAAAATGATCCAAGTAGAAATCAACACTAGTTTTATTTACTCATCTGCATTATAACCTAATGAGATAATAAACTCAGTCTATTGATAAATAATTTATTTATTATATTATAGTAACATTTTTGTGCAGATAACAGAAGTTTTTGTTTCAGAATGCAACTGCTGTAAGTTAAATTGATTCAATTTAATTAACAAGCATTTACTCAGTGCCTACCTGTGCACAGCACTATACCAGGCATATAAAAGAGTTAAAAGATACAACCCCTGTTCATAGCTTACAATCTACATAGGAAAGATGATTCCTGCAGACAAGAAATAATAAATAACACACCAATTATATCCAGTAACACACATTACTGTATCACACCCATTTTTAAACTCAATTTGTTAGGAAAACTGTGAGGGAAACTGAGCTGGAGAAAAAGTGGCAGTGCAGGGGAAAAACAAAAGCATAATTTGGAAGACGGTGGAAATCCTTCTTGCTCAGGGAGGATTGACCATGCCTTAACCTATAAGCAAGACCTTGATAATCCATCAGAATAGAACAGGGAATCACCACTGCCCTGTGCTTGTTCTTTGGGCCTTCACACAGCACATTCTTCTTAAGCAGTAAGGTGTAGAGTAGTTCTGGGCCCCCAGGATAGCTCTGGAAATTACTGGCCACCAGCAGCTATAGCTGTTTTAAAGAGAGAGAATGAGATAAATGTAAAAGTTAAACAAAAATTTTGCTTTCAATGTCCTTAATGATTCTGAATGAGGTAACCTGAAATCTGTATCTGCAAAATGTGTTTCACTTTGCTATAATACTTAGCACTTTTATATTCAAAATAGTTCTATATTTCTTATTTTACAAAGCCTTCACAGGTTCTAAAGACAGGAGAATGAACATTTACTTTTTGGGGTAATATTTATTAATTACTGCTTACATAATGAATATTGAAATCTATTCCTTTCAAATTTTTCAGATAAAAGGGTTTCACATTATCCATGAACATTTAGAAGTATTCAGTGAACAGCTGTGCAGATTATTGGAAAATATCAGATAAATACATGCTATAGCATCTTACCATGATTTTAAACAATGAAGGTAATAATAAGCTTTAACTAAAATCAGATCTTATATGTCAGAATTTTCCACTCACCATTTTAAAAGCTAGGTTGATAATGTTAAATTATACAAAAGCCCTGTTCATGTTTCTCCCTGGTCATCTTCTGCAAAGACTTAGATAGTGCTAATCAATTTCCACCAAGGTAGACTCTATCCCAACAGGTAAGCACTATGGATCCTGCCTCTCCAAAACAAGATATTTAAGAATTTTCCCCCCAGGGTGAGAATATGTAAAAACCTACAAGGAAGGAGAGAACTGAAACAATTCAGAAATTTTAGAAACTAACAAGCAGATAAATGAATAATATGTGACTTATCAGTTCAAACATCCTGAAATCCTAAGCCAGCAGAGGGAACAGATGAAAAGCAACATCAATTTCAGTCAAATCTCCAAAGGACATAGGAATTCGCAGCTATGGTAATTCTGGAAGCGAAGAATCAATACAAAGAAAAGACTTTAGCTGTCTGAGAAGCTGTTGGGAGTCCCCGTCTACTGCTCCACTTGGCACAAATGGGTAACTAACTGCCCCCTCTTTATCCTGGCTGAAAACTGGGAGAAAGAATAAAACAGACTGGGCTAGAAGACTACAAAGAGTAACACAGTAGAGACAGGGTACTATGTAAACACTCTTCCATTCTCAGGTGCTATGATTTTGCTAGGCAAATCTTTACCCTCCAGGCAGAAGTTTGGAAGTGACTTTTCTGTCCCAGAGAGGAAAAACTTAAAGACACTGGCAGCAGTTCATCAAAGAGCCCAGATACAGCCCTGCAGTGAAGACCTGTCCTCAAACCCCACCCACAAGCTTAGAGAGTGCAAACCCTGCTTAGCATCCTGAGTGTCAAGGAGACCAAGAAAAGACAAATCAACTTAGAGAAAACAAAGACCATGAAAGGCAAAGAAACTTTACAATTTTTGATATTCTCATGAAGAGAAAACCAGGCAATGATGCCATTAAACAAGAAAAAGATGCTGCTTAAAACAATTACAGATCAAAAACAACTTGCAGAAATTAAAGTTATGATAGCAAAAGTGAAGAAGCAATGAAATACTGAAAATTAAAGTTAAGGAAATATTCAGGAGTAAAGCAAAGAGATGAAGAGAGGATAAGAAAGAAAAGTAAGAGAATGGAAGAACTGGTCCAAGAGGCCCAATGTCCAAATGATACAAATTCCAAAAAGAGAGAACACAGAAAATGAATGGGAAAAAAAAATCAACAAACAACTCCAGAAAATTCTATGTAACTAAAGAGTCTGAGTTTCCAGAGTGAAAAGGCTTACTGAGAAGTACACAAGGAATAAAAATGTATCAATGTAAGATATACCATTATGACCTTCAAAACACTGGAGATGAAAAGAGCTTATGACTTTCCACATAGGTAAAGCAGACTATCAAAAATACAAGTCACTCAAGAAAGATTAAGATTCAAAATGGCTTTAGACATTCCAATAGTAATTCTGAGATCTAGAAGGCAATAGAAAGGTCTGAAGGAATATTATTCTAAAGGAAAAATATTTTTAATCTAATGATATGGGTATTTTCTGTACCCAAACTATCAATCAAATGGGAGGGTAAAAGACAGTTTCAGACATGCAAGGTCTCAGAAAAACTGCTTCTCACACTCCCTTACTTGCCCAACACATGTGAACAAACCAAAATAAGGGGAATTGGGGGGAAAACGGAAGCAAGGATGTTCAAACAAGATAGAGGACTAGAGTTCCTTCCAGGTGGACAATAAAGGGAAATCTCAGGGTGATAGCTATACAGCAGATAGAAAGAGGAACCACTTGAGATTTGAGAAATTCAGAAGATTCTGGAAGAGATTTTTTCAAAGAAATGAAATGGATTTGTCCATTTCCATCCATTTTTCTTGGATGTTCTGCTCATGGTTTCTTAACAGTCTTGCTGAGCTGTCTATGTTCTTTTCAAAGTACATACAAGAGGAAGTGAGGGGAAGGGGAAAAATAATACAAGGGGGACAAACGAATGTCAGTAAAGGGGGCAGAGAGAGAAGAGGGGAGGGGAGGGGAGGGGAGGGGAGGGGAGGGGGGATAGTAGAGGATAGGAAAGACAGCAGAATACAACAGACACTAGTATGGCAATATGTAAATCAATGGATGTGTAACTGATGTGATTCTGCAATCTGTATATGGGGTAAAAATGGGAGCTCATAACCCACTTGAATCAAATTGTGAAATATGATATATCAAGAACTATGTAATGTTTTGAACAGCCAACAATAAAAAAAAAAAAAAAGAAATGAAATGGACAAAAAACCTAATGTCTAATATGTCTGAATATATTTAGAACATAATTTCATAAATAAAAGATTTAGAGATTGAATCGCTGATAAATACATAGAAAAATAATAAAGTGTTTAAAAAGAGATAATTGTGAGTCCTGACAAAATTAATAAACATGCACAAATAGCCAGAGTTTACTACATAGCTCAGCCAAGGAACATGTACATGTTTGTATGAAAGTACATTGTCCCAACCAAAATAATAATATAACTAAATGGGCATAATATAGAGAGAGGTTGAGTGTGAAAGGAGCCAAATCCTTATCTCTAGCATAGTTAATAGTTTTAATTGATAATAAAACTAAGAAATAAAAAAATCACAATGTGCAATTTGGAAACAAATACCTAAAGAACCAACCAAGAGTTGAAAGTGTTTGTCTTTGGGTACTGGGTGTGGGGAGCAGGGAAGAGGACACAACAGTCTAAGAGAGTGAGAAGAGATGCTATTTTTCATAATAAACTTTGTAGAACTATGTAGCTCTAAACTATGTGCACATACAGAACTTCTAAAAAAAAATAAAATGTTTTATAAAAAAGACTAGTCTAATAATTGTAAGTCACTCTAATCATTCAATTCAGTATCTAAGGATTGACCTTATTCTTCTGCTTGCTGGATAGAAAAATAATTTTTTTTTCCAAAAAGATCAACATAAAATAAGACAATAAAATTATGTATTGAAAGTAGGTTGTTTGAGGCCACCTGGCATCCTCTTCCCTTTTCTTAAGCAGATGTATCCTCCCCAATGCATTCCATGTGCTTCAGTGAAAATGACCAAGCCCCATTCCAAGGGCAGGTCCTGATGGGCTTCAGCAACTCTCTGTGCATCTGAGAATTCTTAGGTCCTTTCTATAAAATGGCCTAGTATTTGCGCAAAACCTATACATTTACCCAGTATTTGCATCTAACCAACATTTCTAGATTACTCACAGTGCCTAATTCAATGTAAAAGCTGTGGGAATAGTTGTAATACTGTATTGTTTAGGGAATGATGACAGGAAATAATGACCTGTCTTGCACATAATGTTGCATTCAGAGTTGGATACACACGACCCTTTTGGGGTCAAGCTTATAGGAGGAGATACTGGGAAATTTCTGGGAAAGAAGTTCCTTTTCTCTTCCAAGGGACCTACTTGGAAATCCCATTCTCAGTTCCTTTGAAAACTGCAGTCCAAGGACAGGGCCTTCAAAGTGACTGCATCCATTCCTGCTGTCATGGAGGTCAACTAATGTGAAAGAAGCCTAGTGTTGGGAGATTCACAGAGAAATGGGCTCAATCCTAATCACATTCCAAACGTGGGATTAAAAGTAGCCTGAAGAGTGGCCTGCGGAGGGGCAGAGCTGCCAACCACGCCTGCAAGGTAGGCGGGCCTGCG